CCCAGCCGAAACCAGGACAAAGTGTAATGTTCTTATTCATCCTCCACTAACAAATACTATAGTATTAGTAATCAAATAATTGAAATCATAACCCCCCCACACACACATTTTGATGCGTCCAGACTTGTTCAGCAGTGTCACTCTAGATAATCATGGGAGATGTGAATTCCTGTAAGACTCAGGAATTCAAGAAGAAGGAGGTGTTGCCTTGCTCCATAAAACATATATAAGGAGATGTCCACACCACAGGATATGATGAGAAAATGCAAAGTTGAAGCCAAGTTCCAAGGGTTTTATCTTAGCATTACAGTGGAAGAGTCAGTTTAAATACCAAAACACTCAAATGGTGGAAATTCAATGTTCTGTTTTGATCACACTTAATAGACAAAGTTATTGTCCTGTGGAGATGCAATTTATGTCATTCATGTCACTTTTCTGCCTTATAATATTGTAAGAACTTTATTAAACAATCTTGCTTATATCATTTTTCATGATGATACCCAATTCCATGTAGATTGTCTGCCTCCAGATGAAATATTTAGTCTGGTTAGTTGTCTTGGTTCTCTGTGATTCATGGAGAAATATGATTACCTCCTGAGAAGGATTTGGGCCATCAAAATATGCAGGTAGAAGATAGGCAGAAGGAATTGCCATTTGGAGAGGAATATGTTTTTCTCCTTTGGCTACAGAGGGAACTGACATGTTCTGAACACTTGAAGTAGTATTCAGATTGCAGAGTAGGGCACCTAAAATTTGACAGGTAATGTCAGCTTGGAGTCAAAGACCACACTAAAAGCCAAGAGAGCCTGATCAGTGGAACCTGGAGAGCTATTCAGTTCAGCCTGCAGCAGACACCTTAATGAGAACAGGTGAAGAGCTCATTAGATGTCACTAAGTGTATTGGGTAGGTCTCTACCAACTCTAGTGAGATCTCAGACACTTAATTCTAGGTATGTTAACTTCCAAACTTAATTCTACCCCTTGCTTTAGACAGCTAAGGTTAGGAGGATGCTACCTAAAGTAACTGAATTTGATACCATCCCTTCTGATTTTTGTTATGTTAGAAATTAATTTCATGATCCATGAAGGTGAGGTTTACATGATATGACAAATTCCCCACTCTAGACTGTCTTTAATCAGGTATGTATTAAATTGTATTATCTGACTTAGAAAGTAGGACCATAAAGATAGATGTAAAAGCCTTATAGTTAAGATAAAGACTGTGGCTGCCCATTCAGTTAAACACTTGTGGGTAGAGTAGAATACATTTCTTCTTTTTCCCAGGCTGGAGTACTGGACTAGAAGAGATGTAGCACAGTGGCTCAGTTGAGAAAAATGTAGCCACATTTCTTGGGGTTTTAACATCTGGTTTTTGTCAGAATCTTTTCCAACTTTATTTAGTCTTATTTCCAGATAGATGGATTCAATAAGGCAATGCTATCTATGCAAGCATGCCTGGCCTAGTGTGGACCAGTACCATCTGTGTTTCTGTATAGTGGCCAAATTGGTGTGTCAGTGCTCCCTTTTTACAGATTTGCAGATTACAGATCAGGTCTGAATGACATGGTAGTGCATCTCAGATCTTGAGCTGTATAACTGAAACTGGTCGCATAAACACTCTGACAACTGAAGGACTTGATCATCTGCAAAGTGTCTTAGCAGCAGGCTTGCTGCGTTATATTCATGCCTTTAAAAATGAAAATGTAAACAAAACTCAAGCAAGAGAGAAGTGTTGCTAGATCAACTTTCAGCAAGGAGTACTTGTTGTGGCGGAGAGTGTTCCTGCCTACAAGATACACAAATAAATAACACTTGCTACTAGATAATGACAATGACTTGAAGTAGGTAATAGCAGTGAAAGTTAATGTACTTCTGTATATTTTCTCTGGCAGTTTTAAAAATGTCTTCAAATTTGCAATAAGATCATGCAGTTGGACTTAAAGTTATTCTGTTGTCTTTCCTGTTTTTAATGGTATGAAGTCTGCCTCACTTTGAACAAAAAATGGGTCTGTAGGACTTGCTGAGTGTTTTTCCTGTATCTGTCATTCACTTTATCCCCACAGTTGGATTTTCATGTTTTGTTTTTTGTTTCATTGCAGAGACTGAAGGCGAATGCCCATCTCACTTAATAGTCCTGTGTCGAGGTCGAGTGTTTGCATTTGATGCTATCCATGAAGGCAATATGGTGACTCCTCCAGAGATCTTCAGGTTTTCAAACTACCTTGTTTCAATCAAGCTGTCCTATTTAAGCTATATATCAAAGAGAGTCTTTCTTTTTCTATCCCCTTCACCCCAAAGAATTAGATGTGAGAGAGGCTACAGCTTCTCCTCTAGCTGAGCATTCAGATTTGAGTAAATCCTTGTTTAGTGAATGGCATGTTCTTGCCATGAAGCATGATGATCATGTACTGTTGTAATACACCCACAGAACGTCACACAGAAGGGCTGAATGAAGATGAAGTAACATCATTCCTTTCAGGACCAATCCACATTGATAATTGTCTCATTGCTACTCAACCATTATCAGAGATGAAGCACCACTGTCATGTTGACTCAAATCTAGTACACTTGTGGTCAGTTTTCTCAAGAATAGAGGGGCTGGAATTCCTGTTGGTGAGTGCAGTAGAGTCCAGAATTGCAGTATCCACCGATTGACTTTCTGCTAGCTATGGAGCAATACAACAGCATTTCACTTGCATTTCTCGTCTTTGCGCCAGACCTGTGACAACCAGCCACATTTTGTGGCTCATTTCATATTCCTGAGCTGCTGCAAAGGAACAAGGAAAAATAATTTGGTTCTTTAAATAGTAAATTTCAGTACTAGTGCAACTGGCAGTGTTTAAAGCTTTTCCATGCTGTATCCCCTTTCTCCCTGTAGCATGCAGAGGTGCTGGCTTTTCAAATTGGCAATACAGTTGCGGCCACAAGGTTTTCTACTCTGGTCGAACTCTGATGTCACCTACAGGGGTACTTTCGGCATAAGTCTCTTGTGATCGATTTGGGATTTATATGCATCTACTTACTAAAGGGCGGTTGTGCATTTCATGTAGGAATAACCTACTGCATTTGTCAAAGTGCTGTTTATAGAGCACAACAGAAGACTCTTGTAATTAAAACTGGCAAAAGGTGGATGGCCAAATTCCTTAGGCAAGACAAAAACTAGTTAGAGATGCTCAAAAATAACTTTTTTTTTTTTTTTTTAAAAATCTGGTGCTTTAATACTTAAGATATTTCAACATATGTATTTCTAATTTCTGTAGTTGTACCTGTTAGATCAAGCAAGTAACAAAGAAATGAAGGCCTGGAATACAGACAAAAAAATCTAAAGCTTTCTCTTGTCTATAGAAAGGGCAGGTTGGTTTTGGTTTGGTGGTTGGGGTTTTTTGTTTGTTTGTTTTAATAACTTCATCATGGGTGTCTTACACTTTTGACAATTGTGTAACTAATGATCAGTAGTGAAGTTTAATGGGCAAGAGTGCCAGTACAAAGGACAAGCCAGATTAAATGCCTGTAATTGGTGGAGTTTCTTTAACACCTAGAACAGCATGTGAAAAGCTGAATTTGCAAACTAAAAATTGGCTATCTGTTAATAGCTCTTCAAAGGGAAAGTGCAAGGAGAAGGTAGGAAGAGAAGTATTCTTTTGTAGTTCAGTCTCTAACATTTAGGATGTACTGTAGCTACTGTTCTGCTTTAAATTTCAGCGTTTATCTTGAGTGGAAGTTTTGCCCTTGTATCTGATTAGTTGCTATAAAAGCTGCAGTATTGCAGATGTCTGGTGCTTGAGAAAGTTAGATCTGCACTGCTGAAGTCTTAAATCTAGTTTTAAGTTAAGTGCATATGACACTTCAGGATCATGGTTGTTTACATGTAAGTTTGTACTGGGCTGGTAGCTGCAATTTGAATTAGCCATTAGTGACCAAAACCAGAGCAGGTCTTCAGCTGCCCTTAGAATCCGTGGGAGCTGATTCATGCTTCCTGAAAATTCACATTAGCTTGTGGATGCGGAACTAAAATTCCAGCTTGGCAAGAGAGAGAGAGAGAGATGAAAAAGGTGACTTATCTTCTCTCCATGTATTCTTTGTTAACTTCAGTTTTTGAAATCTTCTTAAAGGCAACTTACTTATATACAGAAAAGATGCCATAGTGAACCAGATGGACCAGGACTGGCGGCCTTAACAAGTACCGAACGGACAAAATGGGCAGAGGTGGGAATACTTCAGCAGTTAGTTCCTGAGAAAAGCATTGTGATCACTGGAAATACGTCATTTCACTTAGCTTTGTCTTCTTGTGCTTTCTAGTTACGTGAATATTTGATTGATCTTGATCCAAAGAACTTAACTCTTCTGGAAAAACTTCAGAGAAGTTTGTTTGTGGTCTGCCTCGATGATTCTAGTCCCCATGCAACTCCTGAGGACTACAGCGAGGTAGCTAAGGATTTTTGATAATTAATAACTGGTCGTCTTTATATAAAAATTTCTTCTGCATATATGTAGAAGTAGCACCTCTTGCTCTTTCAGAAAAGAAAAAATGAAGCAGATAAATACGCAGATAATGCTTCTTGTTGATCCATAGGAATACTATAATAGTTTGTATTGTTAGGACATTGGAAGTGGGAATGGCTGAAATCTGCCTTCATAATCTTTTAGCCCTCTATCCTTCAGGGTCCTCAAAAATATAGTAATCAACTTGCTATCATTCTTCAATTTAAAAACTTAGGCTTATAATCATGTTTCATCTTCAACTGGATGAAAATGTCTTATATCTCGGGAGGTCTCACCATCTTAATGTAGGCTTGATTCAGCTGACAGAGGTTGGCAGTGTATTCAGTGTTTTTTAAAACCCGCAGTGTGTAACTTTTGCTTTAGGTTACAAGGCTGGTGCTAACAGGTGATCCGACTGTACGCTGGGGAGATAAATCCTGCAATGTTATTGTCTTTTCTAATGGAACCTGTGGTGCATTCTGTGATGTAAGTTGAAAAAGTTTTCCCCCTTATAAACCTTTCAAGTATTTATTTACTAGTAGTATAGTAGTATTTTAAATGTTTAATATGTACCTCTTTAGTGTAGCCTTGTTTGCCAGGCACCTTGTCTGCCAAGTTTTTAAAAGCAGTCTCTGCTTTCAGTGTTTGATATTACACCATACTTGAATTGAGAGATCTGAAATCATAATCTCATTTCTGAAAGTATTTAATGAGGGAGTTCCAAAGACAAAAAATAATGTTGTACAAGAAGGCTTAAAATTAACTCCTTGTGTTACGCAGCTATTTGAACAGCTGTGTTTTTTAAACTCAGGATTTTTAAACTTCTTATTGAGTGGCCAGCAGGGCCTACATCTTGCCTGAAATCTGCTTTTCCACAGCATTGTTATATTATGCCTCCCTATCTGGTTGCAGAGCAGTCAGAACAGTGGGTGGACTTAGAGTAGTTCTAGATGTATTGTAGAACTAGAAAAACAAGTCCAACACTGTGCAGTAAGGCTGTTGGTTTGCAGGAAAAAGAGTGGGGTGGGGGAAAAAAAGCAATTTGGTCCTCTTGCAGTTATGCAAATAATGTGATACCTTGTCTTATATGATTCTAGCATTCTCCTTTTGATGGGATGGCTTTAATTACCATGTTGACTCATATTGAAAAGAAGATTATTGAGAATGAGGGAAAATGGAAGGTATCTCTCCTTTAAACTTTGAAATGTGTTAGTTAATGTGTGTTTTCTTATGGATAACGTTTTCTGTCTTCTCTCTCTCTTTCTGTCTGCATTCTCCCAGGGATCAGATAAAGTGAGGGATATTCCATGGCCAGAGGAACTTGTATTCACAGTGGATCAAAAAATTATAAATGAAATTGGATGTGCTAAAGAATTGTATTACAAAAAGGTGGAATTTCTTGCTGCTTCTCTTAATTGTCAGTGATTCCCCCTTCCCCCCCCCCCCCCCATTTGCATGTTTTTAGCTGGCCTTTCTCCATGCTGGAAAACAGGGATGAATATGTTATTGATGAATTGATGTATCAGGGGACTTAACACCATGGTTTAATTTGTTACATTGTTGGTTTATGTTGAATGTGTTTTATTTTAAGTGAAGCAAGTTGTGATGTTTGTAGTTTCTTGACTTCTGGGTTTTTTCCTTCTGTGGTTTGACAGGTATCTGACTTGCAGCTAGTGCACTATGCCTTCACGTCCTTTGGCAAAGCATTGATTAAAAAGAAGAAACTTCATCCTGATACGTTTGTGCAGCTTGCCCTTCAGCTGGCTTATTACAAATGTCATGGACGGTATGAAAATCTCATTACCCAGATTAGGAATAAAAAACTAGTTTCTTGAGTAAAGGGGTGGATCTAGAGATATAAGGCAGTGGCCTTGTAATGCCAGTGTGTAATTTGCTATGGTGCTATAAGAATGAAGAAGTAAGGTTTTTTTAAATTAACAGTTGTATAGGGCCTTATTTTGTGCCATTGAACTCCATGCAGCTTGTGTTCTTGGCTTCAGAAGAATTGTGTCCTTGTGCCCATAGGGATCATGTGTGTACATATTGTGGAATGGAGGGCAGAAGACAATCCATGAAAACATGGATTTGGGCTGTACAAAGTAGAGATTTGGGCAAATGCCAAATGCGTAATCAGTCAGCATTCTTTAATGTCAAGTAGTTGCTCAGATGGAGAAGAAAGCTTTATCTGTAGCAAGTAACAGCCATCAGTAAAATGGTTAGTCTTCCAAGCCTGTAAAGAGCCTTGCATACCTCAGTGTCTCACTTTCTTTAGCCACATTAGATGTGAAGGTTTGGGCAGAATAATAGAGATATAGATAGTGACCCTCCAAATGCCTGACTCTACATTTTTGGGTGTGTCATTTTATTTTGTATTACTGGTAAAAGGCAGCATTCTTCCTGGTATTGGTGTTCCCAAATTTCTGTTTGCTGACTAGCAGTGATTATGGCTTGTATAAGTCATTACTGAGCTGGCGAGTATTGCTTGCTTCAGAAAAAGGAGGGTTTCATCATATGAGCATGATGCTTAGTCACTGGAGATGCCTGTCTCATCATAAGAAAGGTTGGTAGATCTCAGTTTGCTGAAGATTGGAATAAATTAATTGTCTGACTAAAATAGCCTGTTAAGTCTGTTCTAAACACACAGGTATGTTTCATGTGAGTTGTATATTAAATGCTAGACTGTCACAGGGCTGGGGATGCTCTGGGTAAAAGCTGGATGTATGTCAGTGTGCAACAGAGAAGGATTTGAGGCTTTTCTTTATAAATGCACTGGGGGACTGCTTATTTCAAGTGTGTCTCTTAATTTTTGAGTTTTTGGACGGTGTAGATGGTTTCTTTAGTGGAAATATATAGTGAAAATGAAACATACTAGGGGCTGGTAGATCTGAGGTCTGCAGAAAATAGCCATGACAACACAGCCTTTTAAGGGTATGATTATAGCACTGGCACTTTTTCAGTCATCTGTCTCATAAAAACTTGTAGGGTTCCTTTGTGGCTCTCTTTCAGACACAAAATTTAAAGAAAATTAGTGGCTTACTGATACTTGTAACTAAGCTAGATGTGTAAGATACTTGGCAGGACTCTTTTTATTCCTTGGGAGAGCATATAGTTTTGTTAAGTTAATGAGATACTCTTCCCTAATTTTTCTTCTTAGCCCGGGCTGCTGTTACGAAACTGCCACGACCAGGCGTTTCTATCATGGCCGCACAGAGACCATAAGATCATGTACTGTGGAAGCAGTGGAGTGGTGCAAGTCCATGCTGGATCCTTCTAACAGTGTAAATACTGAAATCCTACTTTAATCATAATGTATTTAGAAGGGCTGTCATTTGAACTGCTTAAAACTCTCTTTTCTGTTGTCTTGTTAATGGGAATTGGCCTGTTTCCAGTGAGACAAATTTCAAATGTTGGGTTGCTTGAAGTCTGGTTCTGGTCATTGTGACTGAGGTGAGCTGTCATGTATGGGCTTGTTTCATTTTCCATCCTATTTACCTTTTTGGTTCAAGAATGTAAGTGTGTTGAGTTACATTCACACTGATTTCTCCCCTCGCACCATCCCCACCCCCCCCAAAAAAAAAGTAACTGGGTTGGAACCATGTATTCTGCTGTGGAGTGGTTCTGTTGTTTTAATTTTTAAGTGAAATTGGGAAATGTTAATCTAATTGCTGTGTTTGAGAGCAACATTGAAATCTGTTTGTGTCCTAGTGGCAACAGGGATGTATTCCAGAGCTTGTCTCTGAATAGCTGAACCAGTGACCTTTTTTTTTTTTTTTCCCCCAGCAACTACCCTCTGGTGCTTGGCAGAGCATTTCATGCCTTTCTTGCCAAGTGAGAGCTGTGCTAAAGCTCTTTCTGTTGTCCTCACTCCACACTCGCTCAGAGTCTGAGAAGTGAAGCAAGGACAAGATTTTTGAGACAAAGGGCTACGTATCTTTAGGAAATTCAAAGGTTCTGTATTAATGCATGTGAGAAATATACAGAAATACAGCTATCGGGAAGTATGTGTGATTGATAATCATAGTCTTCAAGAGCATATTTTCCTGGTCTTCACTGGCTACTTCTGGCATGTGCTGCAGCTTTAAAACTCAATTTTCTGGCCATTACTCAAATCTGCTTTCTTATTGCAAGTATGGATTCCTGTTACTTCCCTGCTCTTCAGTTACATTCTAACCAATTAGCAGGCGTCTAAGGGTAATACACATAGAGGTTTGCTACTTCCAACACTAACTGTAGCCTTTTCTTTTTCTCTTTGTAATTTTAAATAGCATCTCCAAATATCTTCCTATTGCTATTTTTTTTAATAATGAACTCCTGGGGTTTAAAAAAAGCATCGAATCTGTTCAATAGTATTGAAATGAAAGTGCTTAAAAGTCTATTTTTAAGGTACTAGAAAATCCCTGACGTTAGGTACTTCGGGAAAAATCCTTTTGTCTCAACTTTTTTTTTTGCTCTTTGTGAGCTTAGTAGCTTGGTTTTTATTCAAGTTGAGTCGCTACTGCCCTTGTTTCACATTCTCTGCTGCAGCCTCTTGTGCAATGAATAAAATGATAAAGGGTGCTTCTTAAGTGGTTAAAGAGCTAATAAGATCTAAGATCTTAGAAGCCAAGATCTTGGGTGTCTAGAGATGTTTCTCGAGGCCTCCTTTACCAAAATATGTATTTGTATTCTGTTCTCTCTGGTTTTAATATGTAAGTTTCAAGATAAAATTGAAAAAAAACATAACATTGGGCAGAACTACTGTCATGGAAGTAATATTTCAGTCGGCAGAGAAAATTTAGGAATGCAGTTGGCATCTGTGTATATTTTAATTAGGATCTTTTTTGTTTTGTTTTCTGGTTTTGCTTCACAGATTTTTTTATCTGTGTTTTTTCTGTTTTTTGAGCATGAAAAACAATAGAATAGAATAGACTATTTCAGTTGGAAGGGACCTACGATGATCATCTAGTCAAACTGCCTGACCAATTCAGGGCACGGTGATCATGTAAATGCAACCGCATCTGCTAAAAGCCAGTGTGTTTCTAAATAAGTGGTACTGTAGGAAGCTTTTTGGGTTTGATTACTCTCTCTCACAGTGGCTATTTTCCATTGTTTCAGCTTGTTTGGGAAAGAACATGATTTAGAATATTGTTCAGTGCAAAAGTGATCCAAGTAACAGAACAGAGATACAGGAAACAAATGAGCAAGTTCTCCTGAAAAAGGAATTTGGAGCTGAGAGGAAGTTTGAGAGAGGTTCTAATGTACCTTTAAAGTTCCTCCATTTTTCTCTATCTAAAATTGCTAGAAACTGTGAAAGGGAAAAACTGCTGATCTGTGATTCCTGATGTGTTACTCATCTGGATTGTGTTCTCTCTCTCTAATTCTGTCTTTACACAGACTCATCAACGACTACAGCTGATGCATAAGGCATTTGAAAAGCACAATAAAATGAGGAAAGAATGTGAGAATGGAAAAGGTACTCTAGGATCAAAAGTTTCTTTGTTTTGTTTTGTCTTGTGGGTGAAAAGGCAATATTGCTGTATGCTAATACATTGTCTCCTTGTTTTCAACCTGAGTAAAAACTACCCCTTAACATTTTATACTTTAATTTTGGGGAGAGGAACTAAAATGTAGTCTTTGCACTCTTCCTTGTGCCCCAAAGACATGTTCACTTTGAATATTAATTCACTTTTTCTGCACAGCTAAACATTATTTCAGAATACCTTCCAATCAAATATATGCTTGGCTGGAAAGTGGGAAATGTGGTCTTTTAAGGCAGAAGAGAGATTTGGGTGAAATTGTAACCCACCTGTGGCAAGCTATTCTATGAATGAGAATGAGTAGCTGGGAGATAGTCACCTGATGAACCTTCATACTCTCTCCATCCTACTTGATGAGTTATCTAGGCAGCTGTGGCTCTGAAAGCCTTTTCACCTTGTCCACATAATTGCCAGTGGGCCAGTTTCACTGTGTGGAACTCCTCCTCCTTGGCTGAAATGGAAGTTTTCTTGGGTTTTGTTTTCCATAGGAACTGTGTTGGGTTTGTATTAATTAGTTCATTTGCATCTGGGCTCTGTGTTGCAGGCTGAAGGTGATGAAGGCATCTTAGATCAAATATTTGGGAAATGTTTTTGTATGCTACAATATGAATCTTGTTTTTTAGTAGCCTCTGTCACTTATCTGTCCTTCAGCTGCTATTTGAGCTTCCAGCTACCCAGACCAGAAAAATCATAGAATCACAGAATTGTTTAGGTTGGAAAAGACCTTGAAGATCATCCAGTCCAACCATTAACCTAACACTACCAAGTCCACCACGAAACCAATTAAGGGTAGAGTAATAATTAATTTCATGTTTCCTGGCTTGGTGGCTGGATTGTTTTTTAATGAAAGTAGAACTAGAATAGAATCATTAAGGTTGGAAAGAACCTCTAAGATCATCAGTCCAACTGTCAACCTAACACCACCCTGCCTACTAAACCATGTCCCAACATCCCACATCTACCCATTTTTTGAACACCTCCAGGGATGGTG